GGTGTTTGCAGACAAGTCTCTCTGAACAGGCCTTAGGTCCCGGGAGCCCAGGGTGTCCTGGCTGGTGTTGGTCAGAAAGTTAGTGCCCCTGCCCACAGTGTGGGTTGCCTAGGCTCTGCAGTGACCCACACGGTAATTGGGGCAGCCTTTCCAGTGGCTGGGGAGCAAACATCTGCTCTCAAACTCAAGGGAATTCACTTTCAGGCGGCATGCAAGCTCAGGGCAATCACCCAGGCCCAGGTCCCTTGGCCTGCAAATTGCGGCACCGCCAGTGTCAACCGGCCAGTCAGCTGCGTGTTTGAGGAAAGAGCTTTGTCCTCAGTGTGGAGCCATGGGGGCCCTGGGTCCCCTTCGTCAGGAGCCACAGAGACCCCGGTCCACCGCACTTTGGTGCTGAGCCCGCTGTTCTGAGGCATGAAGTGGCCCAGAGGCGAGGCCCCTCTTCTGCCTGCCATACACACAGCTCCCAGGAACATGCCTTTCCTCCAGAGAATGCCTGCCATGCACCAACTCCCAGGCACTGGTCCCTTCTCCAGAGGACGCCTGCCACGCTCTCAGCTCCCAGGTGCGGCTGTGCTTCAAGGAAGTGTGCACTGAAGCACTCACGGGCAGAGGCCACCTCCACACCAGTTCTCTCTTGCGTGAGGGTGAGAAAGTGCACACACCGCCTCAGGAAGACAGGAGAGCCACAAGGCCACGTGGGACCCCAGGCACCACCCCTGCCATGGCTGGGCCCCACCTCAGATACAGAGCCAAGAGGGTCTTGATAGACCCCACGGTGCCTGTGCCCCTGAGCCCGCCAGTGGTCCACTCACCCTGAGACACAGTTTCCTCCTGATCTCACAGCACTCGGGGAGAAGCGGTGGCTGCTGTGACAAGCCTGAGACCCCCGCAGCCGCTCATTGGGGCACCAGGCTGTGGCCCAGCTCCACGGCAAGCTCTCCCCTTTGAGTTTCTCCCGTGGAGGCAGGACCTGCTTCCAGTAATTCCCTGTGTTTGCAGGTGAGGAGGAGGGGCCTGATGTGGGCATGGGGACCCTGGCGCCAGGAGCCTGGAGGAGGTTGTGGCTTGGAGGGAGGCCTGGCGGCACCCCTCCTTGATACCGACACCATGTTAGCCGGTGCTTTCAGGGACCCTGCGTAGGGGCTGGGGGTCTGTCCTGAGCCACCATGCAGGTGTGGGGGGGTTGTCACTGCAGGGTTGGCGGCAGGCCTTGGGGCCAAGTGAGAGTGTGGAAACACTCCACAGAGCGTTTCCTTCTGCCACATAAGACCAGTTTCCAGATGGCGGCTTTGGGGAAGCGTGTTCCGGGACCCGTGGGCATCCAGAGAGGAGCCACTGCGTGACACGCCACGAGGCTGGACCATTGCCAACAAGCCTGGAAAGTTGTGGCGTCCCGAGCAGCGCGGGAGGGTGGCACGGCCGGCGTGGGTCCCTGGGTCCCTGGGTTCCTCCGGGTCTGCTGCGTTGTTGGCCTGTCTGTGCCATTTTTTTTTTTTTTTAGAATTAATTTTGGGCTGAAAAGCCTCAAAGAAGGCTTTGTTCCTGTGACACTTGCTCTGGAAGAAAAAAAAAAAATCCGTGGAAAATCTGACATCTGCAATGCAGAAAGAAATCAATAGATGGGAGGAATATAATTATCTTCCGCTCCTGAAAGAATTTTTCAGATTTTTAAGTGTCTCATATCAGCTTAGAATTTGAATGACATTTTAATTATTTTGTTTTTTTCTTCTTTTCCTGGTTTGAATCTCCTTAGAGTTCCACTCCCGGATTCTGCAGGGAGCAGAGCTGGTGCTCACGAGGTGGGGAGCGGGGCGCAGGGGCTGGTGACGGCCGTGCCCTGCCCAGGGGAGCCCTGCATTTCATCAGGAGCCGCAGCTGCCCTGGGCGTGGACGGGGCCCCAAGGATTGGGCCTGGGCCGTCTGGCCAGCTGGATGCCCCAGGCTGTTCTCACGCACAAGTAGGCTGCAGGGCCGGAGCCCACGCAGAACAGTCTCTGGTGCTCTAGTGATCTGAGCAAACCCAGCTTCCAGAAGAGCTGGCTCTTGGTTTTTACAGCAGTTCACCCTTCAGGTCTTTAAACCTCAGCACTCCTGGGTTCCCAGAGCCCTTCCTGCCGTTGGGGGCACAGGGCGTGTGAGGGCCAGGGCACACGGCGAGACCCTAGAGATGGCGGTGCTGGACCCGGCGGGGCCCCGCCAGAGGCAGCGTTCGCAGTGCATGGGTGGCTGGGCCTCACAGACCCGCTGAGGCGCGTCCGTGGACTGCGTGTGGGTGGCGTCCGTGTGGCTCACGTGAGGAGCAGGCACCTCTTGCTCGGTGTTCCTGTAGGGCCTGGCTGGGCTTTTCCCCATACTCCCCTGCCGTTTCTCCCGTGTGCCCTCCAGGCAGCAGGCACTGCACCCGTGTGCTATCCTCTAGGGCGCAGTGCAGCCTCTCCCTGCCTTCCCACTCCCTGCCAGTCCCGTGGGTCCCTCATTGCAAACACGCCGGAATTGGACGCGCCCCTACCCTGCCCAGGTCATCCTGCACAGATGGTGGCAGAGCCTGCTGCCTCCTCAGCCGCATGTAACTAGAGGACCCAGCTCAGAGCCCACAGCCACCCCAAAGGCCCTCCCGGGTGTGGTCGGCTGTGTCAGCCTGGCTGGGCCGGAGTCCTTGGTCCATCCGGAGCACAGGCCTCCGTGCTGCTGGGAGGTGTTAATGTTTTACAGACGCGGCTCCAGCCTGTGATGGGCTGACTTGGGGAGGAGATGATACTGGGGGCCTGAGGCTGACCCAACCGGGAGGTCAGAACTGGGGCTCCCTGGAGAGGAGGCAATTCCATCCCGACAGCAGCTCTGGCCACTGCTCTGGAGGCTCTGATGGCCCCCACAGGCCTCAGTTTGCACCCCATGCTGTCGGGACTGAGGCTGGGGCAGATGGGAACCTGCACTCTGGGGGCTCCTGGGTCCCCCTACTGCGGCCTCCTCCGCCCTGCTGTGCCCCACACTCCTGCCTGAGGAAGGCATCTACACCCTCCTCTGCCTTCCCTCACTGCCATCCCTGCGCCTGCCTCACGGGGCTCCCTGCTCACGTCGGCCTGTCAGCTCTGTCCGAGCACAGGCCGGGCCCCTGTGGGGAACAGATGCTCTGTGCTCCCCAAGTTCAATTTCACGTGCAAACCCTGACCCCAGTGCCACGGTACCAGGAGGCAGGCCCGGTACCCCAACACGTCCATGGAGGAGAGCCCTCACTGATGGGAGGAGGCTGCTACGACGGTGTCCCCAGAGAGACCCTCACCCTCTTCCCACCGTGTGGGCAACAGTGAGAAGGTGCCACCTGTGGCCCAACACAGCCGCACCGGGGCCCGCCATGCTACGCCTGCCGCAGCCGCGGGCTCCAGCCCCGCGGGATGAGTCCCTGTTGCTCTATGCCACCACTGCCTCTGCCGTGCCTGGTGGCTTCCTGCCTGTCTGCACCCGCCGCACGCGGCCTCTGGTGGGTGGGGCGGGACCGCACCGTGCTGGGCGGACGGTCGGATGGACTGGGGACAGATGGGCGGAGGACAGGGGGACAGAGGCCATGGGATTCCACTGGGTGTAGCTGTAGCAGCAGAAACCCTGTCACAGAGGAGGCGGCGCTCACTTCTGCATGTGTGCACTTCCCCCCCGATGCAGCCAGTGTGTCTCCCACGGGCGGGAGGAGTGGCAATCTCTTTCTGACTTGGAATCATCTGAAGCCGTGAGTGCCCCCGGGAAAGCGGAGGGTGTGGGAGCCAACCCCTCCCTGGACGCTTCGCTGTGGCTGGGTGCTGAAGAGCCCCCACCCCCCAGCCTCCGTGCCCACATCCCCTCTTCCCCAGTGCTGACAGCTCCACAGGCCTCTCCCGTGGCCCACGTGTCCTCACAGCTGATGAGTTGCAGCTCACGAGGTCACCTTGGGGCCTGGGCCTGGGCACCCTGTGTGCCGCAGGGGGCACTGCTGAGACGCAGGTTCACTGAGCCCTCCCCGCTGACTGTGGGCTCACCCTGGAGCACCGAGAAGCTTCCCTCCGAGGTTGTCCTTGGGGGTCTGTGCAGGATGTGACGAATCTGTCATTTTTAAAGACACGAGACCTCTTTAGCGTGATGACGCGTGAGCCCTAAGAATTAGTGTTGGGAAAGGCGCGGTGGGCGCTGACTCTAGAAAGGAGCCGCTGTGGCTCACATCCGTGGTGAGCCCTTAACTCCTGCTCATCCAAACAGGCCCCAGCTTGCTCTTCCCAGATCCCCCTTCCCTAGTGCTGCACGCATAAGGTGCCTTCCTCATGGCGCCTGCAGCCTGCGCCCACAGCCTTCATGGACAGTTCGACTTCCTGGGAAGCTGCTCCCATAGGGACCACCACGCCCCCCCACCCTGTGACTGTCCCAGGAAGGTGTTCCCATCGGGGCCGCCACACCCCCACCCCGTGACCATCCCAGGGAGGTGTTCCCGTTGGGGCCCCTGTGCCCTCACCCCGTGACTGTCCTGGGAATCGGTTCCTGTCAGGGCCACGTGCCCCCACCCCGTGACTGTCCTGGGAAGGTGCTCCCGTCGGGGCCGCCGCACCCCCACCCTGTGACTGTCCTGGGAAGCGGTTCCCGTCGGGGCCGCCGTGCCCCCACCCCGTGACTGTCCTGGGAAGCGGTTCCCGTCGGGGCCAGGCGCCTTCACCCCGTGACTGTCCTGGGAAGCGGTTGCCGTCGGGGCCGCGTGCCCCCACCCCATGACTGTCCTGGGAAGCGGTTCCCGTCGGGGCTGCGCGCCCCCACCCCGTGACTGTCCTGGGAAGCGGTTCCCGTCGGGGCTGTGCGCCCCCACACCGTGACTGTCCTGGGAAGCGGTTCCCATTCGGGCCCCCGCGCCCCCACCCCGTGACTGTCCTGGGAAGCAGTTCCTGTCAGGGCTGCTGCACCTCCAGCCCTGAGAACCTGCTACTTTTGGGGCTGCCGCACCCCCAGCCCCATACCTCATGCTCCTTCTGCTGTCTTCCTTGCAGGGCCTGATCAAGATCCGGGGGGACCGGTGCTGGCGAGACCTCACTTGCATGGACTTCCACTACGAGGTGAGTGCGCCACGGAGGGTGAGGGCAGGGCACCCAGCCTTCACCCGTGCCTGTCCCGCTCCTGGTGGGGCTCAGTCCCACACACCCAGGCGAGCCGTTGCATCACAGGGTCACCCTCAGTTGACTCAGGACATCCCCTCCTTCCTTTCTTCCAACAAGGTGGTCACACAGGGGCTTGCAGGTGCCCCCACTTGCTGGGGCTGTGGGGGTGGAGTCTGTGGCCCTCCCTGGTCTCAGTGCAGCTGGTTTGCTCTCCTTGGGCTGCCTGTGCTGCTGTCCTCGGTCCTGCCCAGGCCTCCGGGCTGCCCCTCCTTCCTGGAGTGTGCAGCTCCCCACTGTCCCCTGACAGGAGTGTGATGGGACTTCCTGGCTGCGTGCCCAGCCCCTGCCACACAGCACTGTGACTCCATCATCACCTGGAGGTAGACAGGTGTGTCCACACAGGCTTAGCTCCAGGCTCACACTGAGTCTCTTCAGCACCCTGGTTCCCACCAACTGCCCGTATGTTGACATAGGGCTGTGAGTGATCTAGAGCTTGGGGTTCGTGTGTTCATGTAGGACTGTGAGTGATCTGGGGTGATTGGGGCTCGTGTGTTCATGTAGGGCTGTGAGTGATCTGGGGTGATTGGGGTTCGTGTGTTCACGTAGGGCTGTGATCTGGGGTGATTGGGGTTCATGTGTTCATGTAGGACTGTGATCTGGGGTGATTGGGGTTCTTGTGTTCATGTAGGGCTGTGAGTGATCTGGGGTGATTGGGGCTGGTGTGTTCATGTAGGACTGAGTGATCTGGGGTGATTGGGGTTCGTGTGTTCATGTAGGGCTGCGATCTGGGGTGATTGGGGTTCGTGTGTTCATATAGGGCTGTGATCTGGGGTGACTGGGGTTCATGTGTTCATGCAGGGCTGTGATCTGGGGTGATTGGGGTTCGTGTGTTCATGTAGGGCTGTGAGTGATCTGGGGTGATTGCGGTTCGTGTGTTCATGTAGGACTGTGAGTGACCTGGGGTGATTGGGGTTCGTGTGTTCATGTAGGGCTGTGAGTGATATGGGGAGACGGGTTCGTGTGTTCATGTAGGACTGTGAGTGATCGGGGTGATTGGGGTTTGTGTGTTCATGTAGGACTGTGAGTGATCTGGGGAGATTGGGGTTTGTTCATGTAGGACTGTGAGTGATCTGGGGTGATTGGGGTTCGTGTGTTCATGTAGGGCTGTGATCTGGGGTGATTGGGGTTCGTGTGTTCATGTAGGGCTGTGAGTGATCTGGGGTGATTGGGGCTCATGTGTTCATGTAGGGCTGTGAGTGATCTGGGGTGATTGGGGCTGGTGTGTTAATGTAGGACTGTGAGTGATCTGGGGTGATTGGGGTTCGTGTGTTCATGTAGGGCTGTGATCTGGGGTGATTGGGGTTCATGTGTTCATGTAGGGCTGTGATTTGGGGTCATTGGGGTTCGTGTGTTCATGTAGGACTGTGAGTGATCTGGGGTCATTGGGGTTCATGTGTTCATGTAGGGCTGTGAGTGATCTGGGGTGACTGGAGTTTGTGTGTTCATGTAGGGCTGTGAGTGATCTGGGGTCATTGGGGTTCGTGTGTTCATGTAGGGCTGTGAGTGATCTGGGGTGACTAGAGCTCGTGTGTTCATGTAGGATGTGAGTGATCTGGGGTGACTGGGGTTCATGTGTTCATGTAGGACTGTGAGTGATCTGGGGTGATTGGGGTTTGTGTGTTCATGTAGGGCTGAGTGATCTGGGGTGATTGGGGTTCATGTGTTCATGTAGGGCTGTGGGTCATCTGGGTCATTGGGGCTGGTGTGTTCATGTAGGGCTGTGAGTGATTTGGGATGATTGGGGTTGGTGTGTTCATGTAGGACTGAGTGATCTGGGGTCATTGGGGTTCATGTGTTCATTCAGGGCTGAGTGATCTGGGGTGATTGGGGTTCATGTGTTCATGTAGGGCTGTGGGTCATCTGGGGTCATTGGGGCTGGTGTGTTCATGTAGGACTGTGAGTGATCTGCAAACAGATACCATGATGGGAATGGAGCCCCTGCCAGTCAGCCTACCAGCTGGGACCAGGCCATGTACCACAGACCTTCAGGGCATCGGCTTGCAGGACAGGGGTTTCCTGGGTCTGCCTGGAGCCACCTCAGTCCCCTGGAACAAGGGCACTTGAGGCCAGTGGTTAAGTAGCGTGACCCAGAAGCAGTGTCCTGCCGTGCTCACTCTATGCATGGTGACCCCGAACCAAGCCATCACTGTGCCTTCAGGATACCTGCTCGCCTGGAAGGGCTCAGGGACCCTTGCAATTGGCTTGTTACTGGAACACTTGGGGCCTGGCTTCTTAATCCCAAGACACTCACCTGATAAGCATAAGCAGCCTTCTCTCCCCTCCCGGTCAGAGCTCAGCGACGCGCCGACACCCCCATTCCCCCTAGGATATGTGTCAGCACCCCCAGTGTGCAAGGTGGGAGCAGAGGTGAAAGTCTCCCAGCCCAAAAGCCAGACCAGGAGCTTGGACTTGGGGTGTGGCCTGCCCTGGAGACGCGTGTTCGCAACAGGCCAAGCCTGCCGCCTCCCGCGTGGGTCTCACCACATCCCCAGACACCTTCCAGCCTGAAAGGGAAGTGGCACAGCAGGCCTTCCGCTTCTCTGGCCTTTCCCTGTGGGCACTGGAGGACAGGTCCCACACGGGGCGTTCCGACCCCAACAGAGCATGCGCACTCCCCCAGACCTGCTGCCTTCTGAGTCCCTAAACAATCACCCCTTCACATCTTCCTCACGTTTTTCTTACTTAAAATAATCTTTTTGGGAGAAGTTTGCAGGCCGTTTCCTGAGGTCTGGGCCAGCGGCCCCGCCATGCCCTGACCCAGCAGCTCCCCTGGCTGCGGGCTGAGTGTCCCTGTGCACAGGAGCTCCTGGCCTTGCTGTGCAGAGTGTGACACAGCCACCCCACCCCCACGGCTCACAGCCGCGCTCCACGTCACGATATTTCCTTCCAGCCTCCATGCAAACAAAAATAACCCTTTGTCCTCGGAGCAAACGAGCAGATGCTCAGGACCCTCCACAGCCCATGGCTCTCGGGGCACACCAAGGCTCTGTGCTGGGACGCCCCTCGTGGCTGTGCACGTGGCCACCTCTCCTGCACTCCCACACCCCCACCCCAGAGCGAGCGCCGCCCCGCACCGCCCCACACGCGCCCTCTGCCACCAGGACCCTGACCTTCTCGCAGCCTCTCTGGACCCCAGGAGTCCCAGGACCTGGGTGCAGACTCTGAGGCATCGGGGGGCTGGCAGCACAGCCTGGCTCTCTGCTGAGTGTGTTCATTTTTCTCCCTAGTGGGGTTTCTGCAGCTGTGGGGCCCTGTGGCTCCCGAGGGCTGTGCCGACGAGGCCTTCAGCCCTGAGCAGCATGCAGCAAGCCCCCTGCTCAGCAAGGCAGAGTGCACACCCCACGGCACTCCTCCCACAGTGATGCGATCACAGGCGTGAGCCACCGCGCCTGGCCCTGACTGTTCTGAATTACGGTCTAGAGCAAGCTCCTGCTCTTCCTCCTGACAAGGCTGCCACGTGGGACCCTATGTGTGGGTCCTGTGGCCTGGGAGGCTCCAAGGTCTTACATGTACAGCCGTGAGCTGGGCTCTCTGCACTGGGCAGGCGCAGGGCCAGGCTCCTATTTTTGCCGGTCTCCACCCAGGTGCCTGTCACCTGGGTGAGAAGCCACCCGTGTACCCCAGCTCTTGGGGGTCCACCCACGGGCAGCAGGCAGTGCATTCCCCCACTGCCTGTGTTCTCGATTTGGGCACAGATGGTTTAAAGGTGTTGTCTCTCATTCAGGAGGGTGTGTCTTCGTGACTTTTAGATGGTGAAGATTTTGAGAAAATTAAAGTTTGCTCTGGCTTCAGAAACTCCCTTCCCTGAATGTCCTTTGGCTCTTAGCCTGGCAGGTGGGCTCTGCGGGTGCAGGGTCAGGGGATCCTGTGTACAGGACGGATGGGGTCAGTGGGCTGTGGACCCACATGCCCAGCCCCAGCCCCGCCCTCTGAGATCTGCCAGGAGACCCACACTCAGCCCCTCCTGTCCCTGCAGACACAGCCGGTGCCCAACCCCATGGCATACTACCTGCACCGCTCACCCTGGTGGTTCCACCGCTTTGAGACGCTCAGCAACCACTTCATCGAGCTCCTGGTGCCCTTCTTCCTCTTCCTCGGCCGGCGGGCGTGCATGGTCCATGGGGTCCTGCAGATCCTGTTCCAGGTGAGCCGTGCCGCCCGCTCTGCCCGTGTTCGTAGGGGCGCTGGCCCGTCTCTGTTTCTGGCTGCTGCTGTCTGGGAGGCCCCTGGAGGGTTCCCGGCTCCCTTTGGGGGAAAGCCTGTCTTCACCAGCCTGTATTTGCATCGGCCTCACCAGCTCCTCCGCATCCCCTGTGGGGGCCCCACTGCCGCCCTGTCCCAGGCTGGAGGCCGAGGGTCTCCTTCCCAGGCTTCCTCCAAGGTCTGGCTCCTCTCAAGAGCATTTCCCACAGCTTCGAGAGGCCACATTCTAGGCTGGGCCGCGGGAGGGGCTCAGGCACACCGACGTCCTGTGTGGACACCCCACATGCCTGTGATCCTGTCCTAAGATTCTGCCACTCTGGAGCTTTCCTTCCACATGTTCATATCAGTTCACCAGGAATCAAGGTCTGAGAGAGGCCAGGTCACTTGTCTCAATGTGGGTGAGGAGCTGCCTCCCCCAGCCCCGGGGAGCCCCAGGCCCCCCTGAGCCCCGTCCTGCCCACAGTCCCTGCCATCCCTGCCCCACAAGCCCCCAGTATCAAGGGCATCTTGAAGGGCAGCCCCCCCCACCCACCGACGCTGCCTCCAGGAGGGCTGGGCCCATCTCCAGCCTTTCCTTTTCCCTATAAATGGGACATTGTGACTGTCCATTTCCAAGGAGAATGTGGTTGGGATTTTAAAGATGGTTCTGTGTCAGTCGTGTGTTTTGAGGGACATATAACACACGTCCAGGGCAGTGCACGGCCCTAGGGTGGCATTCCACATGCTCTGGAAAACAGACGCACCTGCCCGCCTGCCAGTGCAGGGCCCAGCCCGCCTGGGTCTAGAGGGTGTTCTCTACGGGTGCAGAGACAAAAGACTGTGGAAATAGAGACACAGGACACCGAGATCGAGAGAAAAAGAGCTGGGCCCAGGGGTCCACCACCACCAGGACATGGAGACCGGCCGTGGCACCAAGTGCCTGGACACTCTGACTTTTGTGGGGTACAAAACAGCGGGGGCAGGGTAAGTAGGGGGAGTCCTCCACAGTTACTGATGGGGTCAAGCCAATCCCCTGTCTAAGGGACAGGGGCCCAGGGCTTGCAAGCAGCCGAAGCGGGGGGCAGTGGGATGTGTCAGCACTTGACATTGTGCCCGTCAATGAGAACAAAGGCTTCAAGAACTGCCACTTCTTGCTGTCTACCAAAGAGGAGCCGGCTGCAGCAGCAGGGAGGGCAAGCAGACACAGATTGTAACGAATACAGCAGCGCCACACAGAGACAGGTAAGCGCCAGGTAGCTGCGGTGGGCTCACCGATCTCAGCCCTTCCACGAGAGCGCGGGGAGTGGAGTGTTCTCCAGCTCGCCCGAGGACAGGGCTGTTCCCTTCCACGGTCTGCCGAGTAGCCGGTGCTTCCCCAGCGCGGGCGCCGCCACAGAGATCCTAGACGGCCTCCCGCAGCCATGATGCGGGCGTGAGGGGGGCTGGGCTTCGGCATTCGACAGGGTGTCCCTGCTGACTGCCCCAGTCGGTGTTCACAGGTATTAATGCTCCTGCCTCTCGACCACATCCCATAGTGTCCCCATCAGTCTCTGACCACAGCAACCCAAAAGTTACGAGATAATCACGCGTAAAGTCCAAGAAGGCTTTAATCAAGGCTTAATTTTCAACAGGACTAATATCTAATCACTCATGATAGTTAATACTCAGTCTAATATCTAATCATGATATTTTTCCTAAACTCTCCTGTCTATAGTCTATTAAGAAGAATTGGCTGAGGCTTCAGTCTCCTGCTTCTGCACTTAGGAAATTTTCCAGCCACATGCCAGAGCACCACAGGCTCTAGGGGCACAGCTCCGCCCACAGGCGTGGGTGCCGCACCACATTGCTGGTGCGCGCGGGGGCGCCCACGGGTGCTGGCTGGGTCCTGTTTGACTGCATGCGCGTCCTGCAGTCGGTGGGTCCGTCCCTGTGGACTCGTGGTGGCGTCCGGTTTTCACCATAGCCCACTGTGCACACGCACAATCTCGTCCTCCCGTGGACATGTTCTCAAGGGCGCTGCTGTATCGTGAGCATTCGCTTTACTGGAAGTTGCACGTGTCCTGGTGGCCACGCCGCCGTTCGTGACCCCGCTCCCTCGCAAGGCCCCTCGCTCTGGCCGTCGGGCCCTGAGCAGCTCCCGAAGCCCTCGGCCTTTTCCGTGCTGGTACTCCTGGGGAGATTCCCTGGCAGGCATCGATGTTGCTGAGAATCTAAGTGGGAAGAACTGACTTGCTCACAGAGGGTCTCCCATCCAGGACCACGCATTTCTCTCTGCGGCTCCTCGGGGCTCCTCGAATGCTCCAGTGGATTCTGTATGGCCACACTCTTCGTGTGTCTGGGGGCAGCAACTCCTAGGTGACTTTTATTGTTGGTGTTGTGAACAGGTGCCCTTTTAAGTACATTTCCTCCTCTTGGTTGCTAAGCGTGGGGTGCTGGTGACCGCAGCCGTTCTCGGCTCACCTCTGGTACAAACCGTCTGGCCGCAGGTCCCCCGAAAACGCGTCGTAGGTGTGATCCTGGGCGTCCTGGGTCGTGGGTCCCACAGCAGGGAGGGCCCCCACACCCTGCCTCTCACGATACCGGCTGTGGGTTTCGTGGCTGCTTTTATTAAGTTCTCTTTTGTGGTTTTGCAAGTCATGAATGGATGTTGAGTTGTAGTCACGAGGAGATCATCTGTGCTTTAATCTGTGATGCGGCGAGCTGCAGATGCTGAAGCTAGCTCACGTTCCAGGACGTTTGCGCCGCTTCCTCTGCAGGAGTCACAAAGCAGAGGTGACCATCCCGCACACCTGGCATGTCCACGCGTGAGGCCACCTGTGCCTCCGTGACTGCTCCCCCTTGGGGGCCACAGGACATGCAGGGTTTCTACTACTACTTGAGGCAGTTTTTGTGGTGAACGTTTTCTCTGGAATTTGTTCGTCTGTTTTCAAATTTGTTGGCAAAAAAAAAAGTCATAATATTCTGATAATAGAACCTGGATTTGTGAGCATCTCTTTCTGGGCCTCTGGCCTTAATCTTTTTTTTTGTTTTCAGATGGAGTCTCCCTCTGTCGCCTAGGCTGGAGCGCGGTGGTGCCGTGTCAGCTCACTGCAACCTCTGCCTCCTGGGCTCAAACGATTCTGCCACCTCAGCCTCCTGAGTAGCTGGAAATGCATTCGCCCACCACCAAGCCCAATTTTTGTATTTTTAGTACAGAAGGGGTTTCACCGTGTTGGCCAGGCTGGTCTCAAACTCCTGATCTCGAGATCCAGCCGCCTCGGCCTCCCAAAGTGCTGGGATCACAGGCGTGAGCCAGTGTGCCCGGCCTGTGTCCTTATTCTTAAAGAGACAGGGCCTCGCTCTGTCACCCAGGCTGGAGTGCAGTAGCACGATCTCAGCTCACTGCCTCAGGTGATGCGCCCACCTCAGCCTCTCAAGTAGCCAGGACTACAGGTGCCACCATGCCTGGAGGTTAATTTTTTGTAGAGCTGGGCATCTTGCTGTGTTGCCCAGGCTGGTTTTGAACTCGGGGGCTTGAGCACTCCTCCTGCCTGACGCCCTAAAGCGGGCGTCCCCAAACTACGGCCCGTGGGCTGCATGCGGCCCCCTGCCCCAATTCAGGAAGGGGCACCTCTGTCATTGGTGGTCGGTGAGAGGAGCACAGTATGTGGCGGCCCTCCAACGGTCTGAGGACAGTGAACTGGCTCCCCGTGTAAAAAGTTTGGGGACGCCTGCCCTAAAGGGCCATGACTGCAAGTGTGCACCACCGCGCCCCGCCTCAGGGCCTGTGTCCTCACGGATGTGCGTCTCCTGAGGAGCAGGGCATGAGGGCATTGTCAAGGTCAGCCTGGCCATCCTCCTCAGTAACAGGCCCCTGGAGCCCCACGGACATGCTTGGACTGATGTCCACGTTCTTTTGTTAGAAATAGAGCGTGGAGTTGTGAGGAAAATTAGTACTTAAAGGATTTTTTTAGCAAAGTGAATTTATTTTTGCACAGAGGGTCCTTGTACGGTTGGTTGGCATGAGAAAGGAGGATGAAAGTTGTCTCTTTTATTGGCTGGGGTTGGACTACACAATGTAAGAGACTTGATTGACTAAACTTTTTTTCTAGATAAGGTGGGCACACGCGAGAGAGGGGAAGGGGCAGGGTTGTCTGTGGCAAGCTAGAGAGCGAGTGTTGCTTACCTAAGGAGAGGAATGTGGGCGGGGACTGCAGCCCGCCTGGCGTGGGGTGTGTGCAGAAGGAAGGAAGGAAGCAGGAGTGGGCATGGGGAATTCAAGCGCCAGCCTGGCTCACAGTCTTTGTATCTTTCCCTTGCATTTCCTGTTAGTTTCCTCCTCTGGAGAAGGAAGACCGTTTCCTCAGTGGCTATTGGCCAGGGTGACCTACCAGAGGTCTCGGTGTGGGCAGCATCATTGCCCCCAGGATCCCGAGGTCTTCTGCCCACCCCAAGCCCCCTGCGGCGGTCGCTCCAGTGTTTCAGCTCCGTTTCTATAGACTTAGTTTAGCAGTTTTAGATTTACAGGAAAACCATGTGGGGATTACGGAAGCTCCCTTATCCCCTCCCCCCCGTCCCCCGTTTCCCTGCCCTCAGGGACTTGCAGGGGCTGAGGCAGTTAAGTCGATGGGCAGGGGTTGATACGTGGTTGCTGATAGGAGGGCCATGCGTGGCATCCCTCATTCTGTGGACTCCCACAAATGACACGTGTCCCCATCACGGAATGGGGGGACCTCTGAACCAGAGGCCTCAAAACCGTCCTGTACCTCAGCATGCAGGAACCCGGCCCAGGGGTGGGATGAGAATGGGATTACAGCCCCAGTGAGATGGCCGGGCTGCGGGTCCCCCTGGCGCCAACCCAGTTTTGGAGTCCGCTGCCTGGTGGGTGGGTGGGTGGTGGACAGTGGAGACGAAGGGAAGGGAGGGGACAGAGCTGGGCCTCGGAGATCAGGCCGTGTCCTCTCCAGGACGAGGTGGAAACAGCCGGGCCCTGCAGCTTGGCCTGGCATCCCCCAAGGAGGAGAGGCTGGTCGGCCAGCTGTCCCGGCTGCGATGTGCCCGGCCCCTCACAGGCAGGGTGGGGTCTTGGACTAGGGCCTTTGCCCCCACAGGCATACAGGCCAAAGGGTGTTTGGGGCACGTGCTATGGGGCTGACAGTGACCTGTGCTAACATTGCAGCCCCCCGCCTGGGGCCGTGCCCTCGCCTGTGCCAGCCCAGCACCCCAAGACCCAGGGCTGCCTCTGAGCGCCCCCTCCCTGGAGCCCGTTCTGGTTCCATGTGTTCCCATGTTCCTTCCTTTGTGGGATTGAGACATGAGCAGCCTCCCTGCTCCCACGCACAGTTTACACAGCTGTTCCAGAGGGTTCTGCACGGCCCTGGGGCCACTGCCTGCCTGGAGAGGCACATGTGAGCAGTGACTGTCCAGCCTGGCTGCCCAGCCAGCACCCCACGGGAGCCATCAGCCTCCACCAGGGCGGGAGGTGTAGTAGGTAAGTTCAGGCCTGCAGCCTCCAAGGCGCCTGCTGTTCACAGGGGCTCCCTGCCCCGGCCGCCCCACACGCAGTCCAGCTTTCTGAGCCCTGGCCCAGGCCCTCAGCTGTTTGAGCTGTGATGAACCACCACCAATGACGGGAAGTTCACGCTTTTGAAGCGAACTCGGAGGCATCCAGTGCGTTCAGAGCATGCCCCAACCACCGCCTGGTTCCAGAAGTGCCCACACCCCCACACCCCGTGCTGGACCCCACCAGCCACTGGGGCTTCGTCTCTGGATTCCCCTGGCCCCAACGTTCTAGGCCACTGGCATCCGCCCATGTGTGCCTCATGTCCCGCCTCCTCCCTGAGCGTCAGGACCCCAGGTCTGTCTCTGTCGGGGCACGTGCTGGAATCCGATTCCTTGGCAAGGCTGGCTGCGTTCCCATGTGTCAGGCCCAGGCCTCTAGAGCAGGACTGTCGTGGACGCCGATGGACCCGTCTCAGACCTCACCTAAGGCAGATTCTCTCTATACAGCCTGCCACTTCTGCCCCCCACCAAAGAGACATGGGTTCACGCCCACCAGAGTGCCCACCTGAGAACACAGCACGTGCTCGGCTGAGGCGCCCCACAAGCCCACCTGTTCCCTGTGGCAGCGAAGAAGCTGGAGGCTGCATCCAGAGAGCCCCTCTTCCTTTTTGGGGCCGCGTCTCTGGGGTGCGGCATTCCGTCACTCAGGCTCCTCTTCCTGTGCTGGCCAGGTCATCTGTGGGCTGCCTCTCCTCACGACGGCTCCGCCAGCCCGGGGCGAGCACAGATGGGGAGGGTTGTGGGAAGATTGATTTCCCTCTGAGGAGATGGCCCAGTGACGCTGGAAGAAAAACACGGAAGACGGGGTCCCCCGGGAGCGCTCCGGCCGTGCGTTCTACGGAACTGCATTTTCATAACAAAACAGCTGACCAGATGGAAGGCGAGAGCCGCACCAGAGAGGCTGAACAGGCGTGGCCAGGGCGCCTCCTATGGAGCACGGTCCCATGTCCCTGAGCCCTGGAGCTTCCTCAGAAACATGTCACCCCCAGATCTGTGCTTCTTGGAGCCCTGGTCCCCCACTGGGCTCATGTCAGGATGACCCAAGGTGGCTTTGGAAATATACCCAGGCCAGGCCTACCCTGACCAACACAGGCAGGCAGCTCAGAGCTCAAAGCTCTGGATGGTTCTGGCGTGGCCGGGCCTCAGAACGGGCGCTGGTGCAGGCTGGGCCCCACATCGCTTCGGTCCTGTCTGCTAGTCAGGCTGACCACAGGGAAGGGGCGCAAAGGCCCGCGCTTTCTGTCACCAAGACTGGAGAGCAGGACATTCCACTGGTGCCTGGGGCGTCCCTGCGCCCCAGACCAGCACCGGTCACACTCAGTCTGGGTGTGGCGGAGCCGTTTTTGGCACAGGGGTTTGGTAACATTGTAAATAGGGGAGAATAGGAAATATTTTTGGGCTCACAACCAGGAAGGCCATTTTTCCAAATTAACCCAGGAGAGCTGTGAATGCAGCTGCTAAAAGCTGTCATCACCCATGAAACTGACACGCTCCACCTGCACCGACCCCTCCCGAGATGTGGTGTCTATGCCCTCACCCTTCCTCCTGGGCGATGGGGATAAAGGCTGGGCGTTGCCGACAGAATGCGACCACAGCCCTCCGAGGAAGCCATGCCAACTCAAGTTCCCCAACTCAGCTGAAGACCCTCAGCCATGCAGGGCGACAGGCCACCTGTCTCCCTGACACCTCTGCAGCAGTGGCAGGGGCGAGGCTGGCAGCTCCTGTGACCTCTGCAGTAGCTCAGTGTCCAGTGCTGCCACCTGCGATCACTCCCTGGCCTGCAGGGGTGTCCAGAGCCCAGTCCCTCCGAGTCCCTGCTGTCGTGGGGCTTTGCTCACACCTGCGTCTTTCCCTGGCGCGCTCCCGCCGTGCCCCAGCCCTGCACGCGGCTCCTCCCCTCCCCTGCTGTTCATGCCCGTGGCACCGCATCCTGTGCCCATGTCTCGCTTCCCTGCATTTTGTATTTTGGCATGGGGGCGTTCCTGGTGGTGCCCATAGTTCCTGTCGTCCATGTCGCCCGTCGGCTGAGGGGCATCCCGTGCACCTGCTCTCCAAGCACAGCCTCCTCCAGCAAGGCCCTGGCAGGCGTCCCCCAACAAGTAAGGAGCTCCAGGCAGGCACAGGGTCTGGTCCCGCCCCAGCCTTGTGGATCACTAAGACAGAACCTGCACAGACATGTGCAGTCATGGGAAGAACTTTCTGGAAGCACCTACCGGAAGGCAACTCTATGGCATCTGCTGCCCCCTCCATGAAGGCACAGCTGGGTTCGGGTTGTGATGCCAGGGCTGGGGGTGGCAAGGGTTAGGGCCCCCGCTCCGGGAAGCGAGGTTCCAGCGCCCGAGTCTCAGCGGCCGTGTCTCCACAGGCCGTGCTCATTGTAAGTGGGAACCTCAGCTTCTTGAACTGGCTGACCATGGTGCCCAGCCTGGCCTGCTTCGATGATGCCGCCCTGGCATGCCTGTTCCCCTCCGGTCCGGGCAGCCTGAAGGACCGAGTTCTGCACATGCAGAGGGAAGCCCGAGGCGCCCGGCCTGAGCCCAGATTCGGTAGGTGGCTGTGCCGCATCAGTGGCGGGGAGGGAGTCCTGCCCCAGGGCCCATGGGCATGGGAAAGCTGAGCCGTGCCAGCCCGGAGGCCCGACAGGCTGCCTGTGTGGGTTGCGGGTCCCAGAGCAGGAAGTGAGTCAGCCCCGTCTGCTGTGGAACCAGGCATGGTGACATCAGGCGTTGCTCTGTCCCCAGGACTGGGACAGCTGGCCCTTAGTGAGCAGCAGTGGGGGTCTCCCCAGGGGCGGGCCAGGGGGCAGCTGAGAGCCCCACCTGGAAGAACTTTCCCGCAGGCCCGGCGGTGCGGCGTGCAGCCAACGTCTCACTGGGCGTCCTGCTGGCCTGGCTCAGCGTGCCCGTGGTCCTCAACTTGCTGAGCTCCAGGCAGGTCATGAACACCTCCTTCAACCCTCTGCGCATCGTCAACACCTACGGGGCCTTCGGAAGGTACGTGGGAGAGTCGGCCCTCAACAGCCACACCCAGGCGGGGTTGGGGTGTGGGCCCCCATGACCCCACGCGTCCCCTGCCCCACCCCAGCCTCTTACATGCCGGTCCTGTGAGGGAAGTGCCCCAGGTCACCAGGGAGGTCAGCTGCAGCCCTGGAATGCAGGGTGGTGCCGCCTGCACACAGGCAGTGCCTCGAGATCCAGGTGCCCTTACTGCCCTGGGGCTGGCCCCTTGGCCTCTGGTGTCCACCCCCTGAGCTGCTCAGGGGTGTGGCGCACACACCAGTCACGTTTTCAGGGGCAGGGAAAGTGCTCTCGAGAGTTCCCAGGCAGAGCCACACCTACCATGCTTCCTTGGGGGCAGCCACGCAGTAGGCCCTGACCAGGAGGCAGGTGGGGGATGCAGGCCGTCCACATGGGCCAGGATGGAACGTCGGGGAGTCCCCCAGCCCCCCACTCAGCCCAGCTGGTGTGTGACGTGGGCCTGACCTGCCTCGGTCTCCTGGCAGTGTCACCAAGGAGCGGACGGAGGTGGTCCTGCAGGGCACCGCCAGCCCCAATGCCAGTGCCCCCGACGCTGTGTGGGAGGACTACGAGTTCAAGTGTAAGCCAGGAGACCCCAGCAGACGGCCCTGCCTCATCTCCCCCTACCACTACCGCCTGGACTGGCTCATGTGGTTCGCCGCCTTCCAGGTGGGGGTCGGTCCCCGGCGGGTGCACGGCCCCACCTTATCCCACCCGCTGCCTGCAGACTGCAGGTTCCTAGAGCAACCACTGAGGGGGTTGGGGAGGGAGGCTCAGGGGATCTGGGATCCTGCCCGAGATGAGAGCTGAGCCCACACAACGACCAGGCCCAGCCTCAGGCGGGGCCTCATGTGACAGCCCAGCCCCACCATCTCCCAGGACCTGCCAGGCAGCGCCTCATGGCTGGGTGCCGTAGCCAGACGGTCTGTCTACGGAAAACACCCAAGTTAGCTAGCAGGGGAGGGGGGCGCCTGGGGTTTCAGCTGCAGAAGGATCGACTGAGCCCGACCAGGCCGCGTCAGATGGTGGTACCATTGCACTCCAGCCTGGGGGGCAGAGCCAGACCGTCTCAGAAAACAGGAAGGCATACCCAGGGCTGAGGGCAGCTGGGGCACCCACAGAGCGAGCACCTCTTTCCGTCCTCCCAGCCCTGTCTCAGCCACCAGGACACTGAGCCTCAGGGAGGCAGAGCCCAGAGTGAGCTGGGGCGGACAGGCAGGGGGGCAAGGACAGCGGCCAGCATGGGAAGGAGTGGTCAGGGCTACCAGGAGCACGTGACACAGGTGCCCCTTAGGGACCCCAAAGAACTGGGGCGCAGCCACCCAGGGAGCCTCAGCACCACACGCCGCCGGGCAGACCGAGAGGCAGGCAGGGGAGGGAGCAGAGGGCACGGCCGAGTGTCGGGAGGGGCTGCGCCTGGACAGCCGGCAGCGCAGCGTCCCAGCCCACCCTCTCCTCCCAGACGTACGAGCACAACGAGTGGATCCTCCGCCTGGCAGGAAAGCTGCTGGCCGGCGACGCTGTGGCCCTGTCCCTGCTGGCACACAGCCCCTTCGAGGGCAGGCCCCCGCCCAGGTAGGACGCCCTCCCCCAAATCCAGGCATCGGGTGGGGCCTGCTAGGAGCAAAATGGGGACCCCATCAGCCTTGGCATCCCGGCTGGTCCCACCCCTGCCTCACAGCCTCCCTCAAACCAAACCTGCCATGGCCAGAGGCGCCCCCAAGGTGCATGGTGAACTGTGCTGGACTGACACCTGCATACCCTGGGATGTCACAGCCCAGAGTGTCTGGGGCTGAGGTCGGGTGGGGTGGTGGTTTGACTGCCTGGTGGGGCTCTGGCTCATGGACAGGGGACCGAAGTGAGAACCTTGTGGGCCCTGCAGGCTGGCTTCCCCTGGGCAGTGACTTGGTGACATCCAGAGGACGGAGCAATGCAGGGTCAGATTCTCAGGAGCCAGAGGCGGTGGCCATGGGGGAAGTCACCCTCCTCCCCTGACCCAGGATGACTGTTTGTTTGGACTCCATGCGGCAGAGCTGGGGTGCAGAGGGAGATGTCATAGGGCTGGGAGCAGGAGGCAAGGGTTGGGCCCCACTGGGGTGTGGGAGGGGGCGGGGCGTGAAACACTGGAGACTCCCACGTGGCCAGACCTGGGGCGGGGGGGGCCACGCTGACAAGCCTTTGTGTCCCCCACCCCACATGGTAGGATCGAGCGGAGTCTGGACTGCCCACCCCTCTCCCATGCCATCAGCCACCGATTCTGACAGAAAACACAGTTCTGGGTTTTCCCTCCAGGGACACTCTCTGGGAACCAGGACGGCTGCACCCCGTGGAGTTGCTCCCCGCTGTCTGGAGGGTGGAGGGCGGGGATGGACGGACGCAGCCCCGGCAAGGTGCGTCCCCAGCACCAGCAGTACAGGGAGCTGGGGCATAGGGCAGTGGGGGTCCCTCCTCATGGGCCAGGCCTCAGTCTTCATCCCAGAGCCTGTGGGGGCGGGTAGCTGCTCTCCCAGCCGGTGTCCTTAGACAGGGTCACGTGAGGCAGGTGCTGCCCTCCAGGCCCACCGGGGTCCCGGCCCCACGGCTCGTCCTTCCAGGCTCCATGCAGGTCTTCTCTGTTACTGCCCCCGCCAGGGCACCCTTCAGGTCCCCCCAGCCCCCACTCCAGGTCACGGCCTCAGTGCCTGGGGACCCTGGAGCTAGCCCGGAGGAAGGTTTAATCCTCAGACCTGAGGGAAGCCTCTTCCGGTGAGCGCGCAGATCGGATCATCTGCTTCTCAGCCAAGAGGCACCGCAACAGCTCCTCAGGTCTGGGCAGGTGCGGTTCCATGTCATGGGTCCCAGAGTCTCCCTTAGAAAGGGTCAATAGTGTGCCAACTCTCCACACAGCACATCTCTGAGCAGGCGGCATTGTGACAGGGCACAGCACTGACTTTACAGCTGGAAGACAGGGCAGACGCGGATCCCTGGACGCTCTGTGGAAACAAGGCTGAAGGTGAGAAGAGAGCCCAGCAGCAGGGCCCTCAGGACGGAGCCACAGCCCCAAAACAGTGGTGACAGCCTGGGTTTTTGTTCCGCCTCATTGCTGGAAACCCAGTAATACCAGCAGATACAGACCACAAAACACCTCCACAGAAGTCTGTGCTCTCTGGTAAAGGGCCAGCCAAGAGCAGCCTAGGAAGGCAGAAAACTTAGAGAAAGTCACCACCACTCCAGCCTGCACCATGGAGAAACCACGGGCCACCCGCCCCAGCAAGGGATGGGGTAGGGGCCTGGACTCCCCTCGCTGGGGTGCTGCCAGAGGAGGCCAACAGGAAGCTGAGATTTCCATCCCAGTGGGCAGGAAGGACCCCCGCTGCTATGGTGTCGGTGGAGACCACAGGAGGACCTCCTCCCTCTCCAGAGTGGTCCAAAGTGAAAACCAGCAGAGAGTCAGAACCTTCACTACCACCCCGCAGTGGCAAGGCCACCCCGCCATGGCGTCATGGAGGCGCCATCCTACCCAGCAGCAGCAGGGAATACCCCTAATGTGTCAACTGGAGTTCTACCCCCACCTGGCAGTCATGAGGCAGGACCCCACCCCCTTCTCTACCAGCATGATGTCAGAAGGAGATTTAAATAAGACCCAATATCTCCTAATACCCAAAATGTGGAGTTTTCAGTGGAAAAATCGCTTGTCATAGCGAGAACCAAGACGATGTGAAACTGATGAACTCAGGGAATCAACAGGTGAGAGAGCACAAAGGTGCCAGCGGTATTGGAGCCACTCCGCACGGGCGGCGATGCAGCCGTCGTCACAAAGGGGTTCAGTAAGCAGGTGCAGACACAGCTGATCGAAACGGTCTCAGCAAAGCAACAGAAGACGGTTTGACTCAACATCTGAATGGAGAATGCAGAGGAAAGAATCAATGTAGAACAGGAAGGACCCAGTGGAACACCACCAAGGTCGCAGGCTGGGGAAACACAAGAGCCTCCGGGACCTGGGGGCCGACGAGACGGCAGCAGCAGATCCAGAATCCACACCGGCAAAATCCCAGAGGGAAGAGCGAGCCGAGGGCTGAAGGTGGACTTGAGGAAATCGTAACGGAAAACGGAACAAACCTACAGAGCCAATAAACTGAGTAAACCCTCCACAGGAAAAACCCAAAGAAATTCAACCCTGAACACATCCGCCAAATTTCTAAGAAACCCGATCTCCACAGAAATGCAGACATCAGCCAGGCGTCCTCGAGTTCCCAGTCATGGCTGACGGTGGAGCAAAGGCTATCAAACTGTCTGAAGTCGTCCCAAGTTTACGTAGAGGAAGCATCTGAGGTCACTGGAAATGAACATAGAGAGGTGAGGTGTCCCCACTTCACTTGAGCTGATAAAATGACATCAGCAGACTCTGCGTATAGCGTTGTATGTGTAGAATGCAGTACCAAGAGCAGCCGCCAGGAGACAGCCTGTACAGGAGATAACACGGGAATGCCCTATTGACAAATCAAAATGCATTCTAAGAAATTACCAAACCCGGCCGGGCGCAGTGGCTCAAGCCTGTAATCCCAGCACTTTGGGAGGCCGAGGCGGGTGGATCACGAGGTCAAGAGATCGAGACCATCCTGGTCAACGTGGTGAAACCCCGTCTCTACTAAAAATACAAAAAATTAGCTGGGCACGGTGGCGTGTGCCTGTGATCCCAGCTACTCAGGAGGCTGAGGCAGGAGAATTGCCTGAACCCAGGAGGCGGAGGTTGCGGTGAGCCGAGATCGCGCCATTGCACTCCAGCCTGGGTAACAAGAGCGAAACTACATCTCAAAAAAAAAAAAAAAAGAAAGAAATTACAAAACCCCTAGGAGGGCAGGTTGGGAAAAAGAACAAGTACAGCGACGGACTTGATATTAAATATAAATGATCTGACTAAACGATTAAACGATGGGCCACGTGCTGTGTAATCCCAGCACTTTGGGAGCTGAGACAGGCTTTTCACTTGTCCGGAGCTCGAAATGGCCAGTATGGCAAAACCCTCTCTCTACCAAAAACACAAAAATTAGCCAGGCGTGGTGGTGCGTGCCTGTAATCCCAGCTGCCCAGGAGGCTGACGCCACAGTGAGCCAGGATCATGCCACTGCACTCCAGTCTGGGACTACCTGGCTAATTTTTTTGGTATTTTTAGTAGACAGTAGTTTCATCATGTTGGTCAGGCTAGTCTTGAACTCCCGACCTCAGGAGATCCACCCGCCTCATCTTTCCAAAGTGCTGGGTGACAGGCATGAGCCACTGCGCCCGGCCAGAGACACAAGAAGACCCCGTCTGAAAAAAAAAAGAAGATAGTAACTTAAACATATGTATAAAGCTTCGGCCCTGATAAACCCACTGTAAGTTGAAAACATAAATCAAAACTGCGTTTAGTACACATACCAAACATCAGTCATAGCTCAGCCTCACCCACTACCTCAGCCAGGCCCAGATCACTTACGTGAGGCTACAGTGAGCACAGTCATCTAACACACAGTCTATTTTATAATAAAGTGTCGAGTATCTTACGCGATCCACTGAATACTGTATTAAAAGTGAAAAGCTGAGTGGTTGCACAGGTACTCAAAGCACAGTTTCTACACCGTTGCCAAGTGGAAAACCCATCCGTTGAACCACCATCATGAGGGATCGTCTGCAGAGGCAGGCTCAAAGTAAAAGGACAGAAACACTCAACTTACGTGAATGGTAATGAAAATAAAGCAGTGATCGTATCAACGTCGAGGTAGCGCTCAGTGTACAAATTCTCGGAGAGTGAGAACAGGGTCACCCCACCAAGCAGACGCAGCACCCCGAAGTGTGCGCGCACTAAGCACGGGTCGGCAAAACGTGAAGGAGAAACGGACAGATCAGCAAGTATGTTCGGACGGTCCAACACCCTTCCCCCAACAGCTGACAGAATCACAAGACGCAGATTTAGCCAGAACATAAAAGAACACCCTAATGACATCCACGGAACTCAGTGAAAAGCGTAACATGTCATGGTATATTGATGCCTGTTAACTGCATGTGGAATGTACTTAACCAGTGATGAGAGGGAAAGCACGAGATGCCTACGTTAGAAAAGAGACAGGAGAGGTTAACGAAGAGCGAAGATCTCAGCTCAGTCATCCAGCCTCAGCTGGGTGCCGGCACACGCCTGTAGTCCCAGTGACTCAGGAGGCTGAGGTGGGAGGATTGCTCGAATCCATGAGTGTGAAGCCAGCCTCCTGCCATGAGGCAACACAGGAAGACCCCAGCTCTTAAAAAGTAAGAAAAATCATCTAAGCTCAGGATTCTGTGAGCAGGAAAAGATTCATAGCAAGGAGCAGTAAGAAAATAGTAACAAGTGGAAAATGAAACCAAAAACAGCGAAACTGACTGAAACAGAGAGATGGTTCTTTAAGAAGACCAATAAAATCAACAAACCTCTAGTAAGAATGACGAAAGGAGAAGATACAGTTGCCAATATCGGAAATGAAAGAAGAGGCTGGGGGCGGTGGCTCACACCTGTCACCCAGCACTTTGGGCAGCTGAGGTGGGTGGATCACGAGGTCAGGAGTTCAACACCAGCCTGGCCAACATGGTGAAACCCTGTCTCTACTAAAAATTACAAAAAATTAGCCAGGCAGTCCCAGCTACTTGGTACGCTGAGGCACAAGAATCGCTTGAGCCGAGATCACACCACTGCACTCCAGCCTGGGCAGCAGCAGGAGGCTGTCTTGAAATGAAGAAAGAGGTATCAGTCCAGGCCCCGCATTCCCGAGATGAGTAGTAAGGGAATGCTACAAACATCTCTACAAACATCCATCTATAACTTGGGTCAAATAAACCAATTTCTGAAAAACACAAACTACCACAACTCACGTCGCATGAAATAGACAATTCCAAGCCACGTATGAAATAGCCCTATAACGGAAAACTGAATTTGTAATTTTAAACTCCAAAAAGAAATCCCAGGCTCAGATGGTTTCACTGGAGAAGTCTTAGTTTCCCAGAAAAGAGAAGGGAAAACGTCAATGTATGTTTTCTTTTTTCTTCTTTTTCGAGACAGGATCTCACTGCATCATGTAGGCTGGAGTGCAATGTCACAGACGAGAGTCACTGCAGCCTCGACCCCCTGAGCTCAGAGTCTCCCACCTCAGCCTGCCAGCTGCCTGGGGCTGCAGCCCCACACCACCATGCCTCGCCTCTTTCTTACACTTTTTGTAGAGACAGGGTTTTTGTCATGTTGCCCTGGCTGGGCTCAAGCGATCCTCCCACCTCAGCCTCCCAAAGTGCTGTGATTACAAGCATGAGCTCCTGTACCCAGCTTCAATTTATGTTATGATGTTAATGATTCTGATACCAAAACCATATGGAGATACTATAAGAAAATAATATTACAGCCAATATCCCTTAGGGATAGACACAACAATTTTTAACACAATATTACTAAATAGGCTGGGCACAGTGGCTCACGCCTGTAATCCCAACACTTTGGGAGGCTGAGGCAGGTGGATCACCTGAGGTCAGGAGTTCAAGACCAGCCTGGCCAACATGGTGAAACACCATCTCTACTAAAAATACAAAAAATTAGCTGGGCGTGGTGGCATGTGCCTGTAGTCCCAGCTACTCAGGAGGCTGAGGTTGCACTGAGCTGAGACAGCCCCGCTGCACTCCAGCCTGGGCAACAGTGAGACTCTGTCTCAAAAAAAAAAAAAAGTTACTAAATATAATTTGGCAATATATAACATACCGTGACCAGGTAAGGTTTATTCCAGGGATAAAGATGGTTCTGTATTTGAAAATCAGTGGATGTGATCCACGTTAACCAACTGAAGACGTAATTTGCACGATCGTATCCATCGGTGCAGGGAAAGCGCTTGACAAACCTCACATCTATTCACGATTTATGCTCTTGGAAAAACAGAGACGCAGAGGGACTTCCTCAACTGGCTGCAGAGCATCCGTGGAAACCCCACCGGGGAAGGAATCCACCCTCCGCCGCCGAGATCCAGAACAAGAAAGGCTGTCTGCACTAACCGTGGTATCCCGCGCGGTACTGGACAGACTGCCGCCACGGCACGGCAGGACAAGGGTGTGAATCAGGCAGAGCTGTTGTACTTGCTACCAAAAGGCTGATCTGTAAAAGGAAAAACTGATACATTGAACTCCATTAAAATTCATATAGATCACCAAGGAAGCACCAAAGGTGTGCCTGTTCCCAGAGGACACCATCGTCTTTGTAGGAAAGCCTGAGGAATCCAACAAAACCACTCCTGGAATTAGTAAGCGAGGCCAGGCGTGGCGGCTCCCGCCTGTCATCCCAGCAGGTCAGGAGGCGGAGGCGGGCGGATCACCTGAGGTCGGCAGTTCAAGACCAGCCTGACCAACACGGAGAAACCCCATCTCTCCTAAAAATACAAAATTAGCCAGGTGTGGGGGTGGGTGCCTATAATCCCAGCTATTCTGGAGGCCGAGACAGGGGAATCACTTGAACCCAGGAGGCGGAGGTGCAGTGAGCCGAGCTCACGCCTCTGCTCTCCAGCCTGGGCAACAGAGGAAGACTCCATGTCAAAAAAATAAGTGAGTTCAGCAAAGTCAGAAGACACAGCATAAATGATGCAACAGTACTTCTCTGTCCTAGCAGTGAACACACCGACACTGGATTAAATAAGCAATACCACTTAGAGCCACTCCACAGGGTGAATCGTTATATGTAAACCCAGCAGAATGTTCACACGTGCCGCACACTGCACAGTGCTGCTGAGACACAGCAGCAGACGCCTCATCCGGAGACACAGCGTGTCCGAGGGCTGGACGTCAACACGGTGAACACAACCGTTCCTTCCATGTCGATACACGGTTTAACGCAACTTCTAATAACCAATCACAGCAACATGTTTTTCATAGGCGAGGACAAGTCATTCCAAGTTTTATATGGAAAGAGAAAGGAGCTAAAATACCTGAAGCCGTTCTGAAAAAGAACAAAGCGGAAGGAATCACTCTCCCCAGTTTCAGGACATATAATTACAACCCTCAGTACAGTGTGGTACTCACAGGGGACGGACACACAGATCCATGGGACAAAACAGAGAACCCCCAGACAGACCCACACAATACGCCCGGCTGAGGTGGGGCTGGTTGGTTTGTGTTTTGTTTTTTTTTTTTACCAGGGTGCCAAGAGCAGTCCAGCAGGGAAAAGGCAGCCCCTTGGACAAATGCTTCCACGGCCATGGGCCTTTTGTGGGCAGAACAAAACCTTCAGCCCAAGTCTCACACCATACACAAAAGTAGCTTGAGTGGATCCCGGACTTACATGTAGAACATGAGACAGTCAGCCTCCACAGCCGGGCACCATGGCTGACATCTGTAATCCTAGCACCTCGGAAGGCTGAGCAGGAAGATTGCTTGAGCTCAGGAGTTTTGAGACCAGCCTGGGCAACATGGCGAAACCCCATCTCTACTAAAATATGAATAATTAGCCAGGCGTGGTGGCGCACACCTGTAGTCCCAGCTACTCAGGAGGCTGAGGTGGGAGGATCACTTGAGCCTTGGAGGCGGAGGGTGCAGTG